ATGGTTTGCCTGTTGTCACAACTGATGGTTGGCCAGTCGTTATTGGTGGTTGAGCAGTAGTTGCCACAGATGTTTGGCCTGTTGTTGTTATACCTGTTGGTTCAGCTGTCGTGACTAAAGACGGTTGGCCTGTTGTTACAACTGGTGGTTGACCAGTAGTTATTGGTGGTTGAGCAGTAGTAACAGCTGATGGTTGTCCTGTTGTAACTGTAGGTTGAGGTGTAGTAACTACTGATGGTTTGCCTGTTGTTACAACCTGTGGTTGGCCAGTAGTTATTGGTGGTTGAGCAGTAGTTACAACTGATGGTTGACTTGTCGTTATGCCTGTTGATGGTTGACCTGTCGTTAAACCTGTTGGTTTAGCAGTAGTAACTATGGATGGTTGAGCTGTTGTTACTACTGATGGTTGGCCAGTAGTTATAGGTGGTTGAGCTGTAGTAACAACTGATGGTTGGCCTGTTGTTGCAACTGATGGTTGACCTGTTGTTATACCTGTTGGTACAGCTGTTGTGACTAAAGACGGTTGGCCTGTTGTTGCACCTGGTGGTTGGCCAGTAGTTATTGGTGGTTGAGCAGTAGTAACAACTGATGGCTGTCCTGTTGTAACTGTAGGTTGAGGTGTAGTAACTACTGACGGTTTGCCTGTTGTTACAACCTGTGGTTGGCCAGTAGTTATTGATGGTTGAGCAGTAGTTACAACTGATGGTTGACCTGTCGTTATGCCTGTTGGTTGAGCAGTAGTAACTATAGATGTTTGACCTGTTGTTATAACTGATGGTTGGCCAGTCGTTATTGGTGGTTGAGCAGTAGTTGCCACAGATGTTTGGCCTATTGTTGTTATACCTGTTGGTTCAGCTGTAGTAACAACTGATGGTTGACCTGTGGTTACAACTGATGGTTGACCTGTTGTAACTGTAGGTTGAGCTGTAGTAACAACTGATGGTGAGCCTGTTGTTATAACTGATGGATGGCCAGTAGTTATTGGTGGTTGAGCAGTAGTTACAACTGATGGTTGACTTGTCGTTATGCCTGTTGATGGTTGACCTGTCGTTAAACCTGTTGGTTTAGCAGTAGTAACTATGGATGGTTGAGCTGTTGTTACTACTGATGGTTGGCCAGTAGTTATAGGTGGTTGAGCTGTAGTAACAACTGATGGTTGGCCTGTTGTTGCAACTGATGGTTGACCTGTTGTTATACCTGTTGGTTCAGCTGTTGTGACTAAAGACGGTTGGCCTGTTGTTACAACTGGTGGTTGGCCAGTAGTTATTGGTGGTTGAGCAGTAGTAACAACTGATGGCTGTCCTGTTGTAGCTGTAGGTTGAGGTGTAGTAACTACTGACGGTTTGCCTGTTGTTACAACCTGTGGTTGGCCAGTAGTTATTGGTGGTTGAGCAGTAGTTACAACTGATGGTTGACCTGTCGTTAAACCTGTTGGTTGAGCTGTAGTAATCACAGATGGTGGACCTGTTGTTACAACTGATGGCTGGCCAGTAGTTGGTGGTTGAGTAGTCGTGACAACTGATGGTTGACCTGTTGTAACTGTAGGTTGAGCTGAAGTAACAACTGATGGTTGGCCTGTGGTTACAACTGATGATTGACCTGTCGTTACACCTGCTGGTTCAGCTGTAGTAGCTTCAGACGGTTGGCTGGTTGTCACAATTGATGGTTGGCCAGTAGTTATTGATGGTTGACCTGTCGTTATACCTGTTGGTTGAGCTGTAGTAACTATGGATGGCTGGCCTGTTGTTACTACTGATGGTTGGCCAGTAGTTATTGGTGGTTGAGCAGTAGTAACAACTGATGATCGACCTGTTGTTATCGTAGGTTGAGTTGTAGTTACACCAGATGGCTGGCCTGTTGTTATAACTGATGGATGGCTGGTAGTTATTGGTGGTTGAGCTGTAGTAACAATTACTGATGATTGACCTGTTGTAACTGATGGTTGACCTGTTGTAACTGTAGGTTGACCAGTAGTAACCTCAAACGGTTTGCCTGTTGTCACAGCTGATGGTTGGCCAGTAGTTATAGGTGGTTGAGCTGTAGTAACAACTGATGGTTGAATTGTTGTTACAACTGATGGTTGGCCAGTAGTTATTGGTGGTTGAGCAGTAGTTACAACTGATGTTTGACCTGTTGTTGTTATACCTGTTGGATGAGCTGTAGTAATTACAGATGGTGGACCTGTTGTTACAACTGATGGCTGGCCAGTAGTTGGTGGTTGAGTAGTAGTTACAACTGATGGTTGACCTGCTGTAACTGTAGGTTGCAACTGATGGTTGACCTGTTGTTATACCTGTTGGTTGAGATGTAGTAACTAGAGATGGTTGGCCTGTTGTTACAACTGATGGTTGACCTGTTGTTATACCTGTAGTAACTACAGATGGTTGGCCTGTTGTCACAACTGATGGTTGGCCAGTCGTTATTGGTGGTTGAGCAGTAGTTGCAATAGATGTTTGGCCTGTTGTTATTATACCTGTTGGTTGAGCTGTAGTAATTACGGATGGTTGGCCTGTAGTTCCAACTGATGGTAGACCTGTTGTAACTGTAGGTTGACCAGTAGTAACCTCAAATGGTTTGCCTGTTGTCACAACTGATGGTTGGCCAGTAGTTATAGGTGGATGAGCTGTAGTAATTACAGATGGTGGACCTGTTTTTACAACTGATGGCTGGCCAGTAGTTGGTGGTTGAGTAGTAGTGACAACTGATGGTTGACCTGTTGTAACTGTAGGTTGAGCCGTAGTAATAACTGATGGTTGGCCTGTGGTTACAGCTGATGGTTGACCTGTTGTTACACCTGCAGGTTCAGCTGTAGTAGCTTTAGACGGTTGGCTGGTTGTCACAATTGATGGTTGGCCAGTAGTTATTGGTGGTTGAGCTGTAGTAACAACTGATGGTTGACTTGTTGTTATACCTGTTGTTAAAGCTGTAGTAACAACTGATGATTGAACTGTGGTTACAAATGATGGTTGACCTGTTGTAACTGTAGGTTGACCTGTAGTTACACCAGATGGTTGGCCTGTTGTTACAACTGATGGTTGACCTGTTGTTATACCTGTAGTAACTACAGATGGTTGGCCTGTTGTCACAACTGATGGTTGGCCAGTCGTTATTGGTGGTTGAGCAGTAGTTGCAACAGATGTTTGGCCTGTTGTTATTATACCTGTTGGTTGAGCTGTAGTAATTACAGATGGTTGGCCTGTAGTTCCAACTGATGGTAGACCTGTTGTAACTGTAAGTTGAGCCGTAGTAATTACAGATGGTGAGCTTGTTGTTACAACTGATGGCTGGCCAGTAGTTATTGGTGGTTGAGCTGTAGTAACAACTGATGGTTGACCTGTTGTTGCAGCTGATGTTTGGCCAGTAGTTATTGGCGGTTGAGCTGTAGTAGTTCTACCTGTTGGTTCAGCTGTAGTGACTAAAGACGGTTGGCCTGTTGTTACAACTGGTGGTTGGCCAGTAGTTATTGGCGGTTGAGCAGTAGTGACAACTGATGGTTTTCCTGTTGTAACTCTAGGTTGAGGTGTAGTAACTACAGATGGTTGACCTGTTGTTATACCTGTTGGTTCAGCTGTACTGACTAAAGGCGGTTGGCCTGTTGTTACAACTGGTGGTTGGGCAGTAGTTATTGGCAGTTGAGCAGTAGTGACAACTGATGGTTGTCCTGTTGTAACTCTAGGTTGAGGTGTAGTAACTACAGATGGTTGTCCTGTTGTTAGTACTGATGGTTGGCCAGTAGTTATTGGTGGTTGAGCAGTAGTAACAACTGATGGTTGACCTGTTGTTATACCCGTTGGTTCAACTGTAGTAACTACAGACGGTTGGCCTGTTGTCGCAACTGATGGCTGGCCAGTAGTTATTGGTGGTTGAGCTGTAGTAACAATTGATGGTTGTCCTGTTGTAACTGTAGGTTGAGCTGTAGTAACAACTGATGGTTTGCCAGTAGTTATTGGTGGTTGAGCAGTAGTTACAACTGATGGTTGACCTGTCATTTGTGCTGTAGTAACTATAGAAGGTTGACCTGTTGTTAATACTGATGGTTGGCCAGTAGTTATTAGCGGTTGAGCTGTAGAAACAACTGATGGTTGACCTGTTGTTATACCTGTTGGTAAAGCTGTAGATACACCAGATGGTTGGCCTGTTGTTGCGACTGATGGTTGACCTGTTGTTATACCTGTTGGTTGAGATGTAGTAACTAGAGATGGTTGGCCTGTTGTTACAACTGATGGATGGCTAGTAGCTACTGGTGGTTGAGCAGTAGTTACAACTGATGGCTGGCCTGTAGTAATTGGTGGTTGAGCTGTAGTAATAACTGATGTTGGACCTGTTGTTACTGATGGTTGACCTGTTGTTGCAACTGACGGTTGACCTGTTGTTACAACTGATGGTTGACCTGTTGTTATAACTGATGGTTGGCCAGTAGTAACTGGTGGTTGAGCTGTAGTAACAATTGATGGTTGACCAGTTTTAACTGTAGGTTGAACTGTAGTAACTACAGATGGTTGGCCTGTTGTTACAACTGATGGTTGGGCAGTAGTTATTAGTGGTAGAGCAGTAGTTACAGCTGATGGTTGAGCTGTTGTTATACCTGTTGGTTGAGCTGTGGTAACTACAGATGGTTGGCCTGTTGTTACAACTGATGGTTGTCCAGTAGTTATTGGTGGTTGAGCCGTACTAACAACTGATGGTTGTCCTGTTGTAACTGCTATAGGTTGAGCTGTAGTATGTACAGATGGTTTAGTTGTTGTTACAAATGATGGTTGGCCAGTAGTTATTGGTGGTTGAGCAGTAGTTACAACTGATGGTTGACCTGTTGTTATGCCTGTTGGTTGAGCTGTAGTAACTACAGATTGTTGAGCTGTAGTAACAACTGATGGTTGGCTAGTAGTTGCTGGTGGTTGAGCTGTAGTAACCACTGATGGTTGGCTAGTAGTTGCTGGTGGTTGAGCTGTAGTAACAACTGATGGTTGGCCAGTAGTTGCTGGTAGTTGAGCTGTAGTAACAACTGATGGTTGGCTAGTAGTTGCTGGTGGTTGAGCTGTAGTAACAACTGATGGTTGGCTAGTAGTTGCTGGTGGTTGAGCTGTAGTAACAACTGATTGTTGTCCTGTTGTTACACCTGTTGGTTGAGCTGTAGTTATACCAGATGGTTGGCCAGTAGTTATAATTGGTGGTTGAGCAGTAGTTACAACTGATGGTTGAGCTGTAGTTATAACTGGTGGTTGAGCTGTTGTTGTAATAGGCAAATAAGATGTTGTCGTTTGGAAAACACAACCTATTTCATCGCTTGCATTAGGACAATCCAATATGTTATCACACCTTCTTTCAATGTTAATGCAAACATCCAATCCTGTACACTGCCATTCGTATATTGTACAGCCGATTTGTGTTGTCGTTGGTGTAGTTCCTAGAAGCAAGAAATTTAGGGCTTTTTAAACTAGAGAAAATACCCTGAGATATTGATATTCTACAGATCAGTATTTATGTTGCTTGTGACTGAAACACTTACCTACATAATCCAATAAAAAATCCAGTAAAACACCTCTCATTGAATTAAAAAAAAATTATCCTCTTAGTGTGCTGATGCTAATTACCATGTTGAGGATGACAATGTTCTATTTACATTAATATACTATTGATTGGCATTAAACAAAATGTCATCAGTGGTTTTTCTTTGTAAAATTCTTAAAATTTACGTTGCCACCTTTGTTTGGAAGAAATTGTGCTCTTGTAGGCTCTAAAGATAAGTGTCTAATGCTGGCCACTTACAGTAATTAAAGCCATATGTATTTGAAAATGGATTGGCGAAGCGAGAACGGTTTGGTGTTCAAACCTCAAAGTCAGAATTTCAGTCCTTGAGCCATGAGTGGCTAGATTTGCCACAAAGTTCCTCATTATTATTATTTTTTCTTATTCTGGATAGCACCATCAACAAGCAAGTTAATTTTGAGAAAAAAGAAATCGAGTATTGGCCATCAAACAAATTAGGTATGGCACACAATAAGCTCAATAAAGAGTGAGTAAACCAAAATTAGGGCCCAAAATTAGAACCCAGGCTAATGAGTGGCGTAATGGTGAGCTCTGGAGCTCGGGGGGTGAAAACGTTTTAGGGTCCATGAACTTCATTCTATTAAATGACTTGAAAACATAATGAACAGTTAGGCTGAAAAGGCTGCTTTAAAGGTAATGTCAGTATTGTATGGAATATAATAAATTGTAGTTAATTTACATGATTACACATATGCATAAATTCCCAGAGGATTTTTTCTCCGACCAGAGTGTTTTTTTTAATGAAAATTCAAACACAACCTAAATGTTTGTAACTCGTTGTTAAAGCCCATGAAAGGGGTTATAGAGTACTACAGTTTTACATCACGATATACGTGATACTACTTCGTTGCCATCATTGCAAAATGCGTTCAAAAGGATGCCATTTTCCCCACTGACAAACCATTGATCCCAATTTCCAACATAATTATTAGGATGTTGTATCTTAGTTTTTCTTTGTAAATTTTAATTGATGATTAAATGCGTGTTCGATAACTAATATATTGAAACAGGTTATATTTTCATTGCGAATTTTTTAGGCTCAGTACGGACTCCAAAGCGCGTATGCGGATTTTATAAGTCCGCAATGACGATATAACGTGTTATGAGAGCTTTTGTATTTTTAGTACATTTTGATGGTAAAATTTAAGATTTCAAAATGCCTATTCCAGAAGGCCTATTAAGTCATTCAGACATAATGAACGGTAACCAACTTCTGGTTTGCGACAGAGTGCACCACCTGGAGTTGTGATGACACGACTGTGGTACTCTATACATTAGAGAAGAAATTAAAAGAAAAAACAACTTACCACAGAACTTTTCATCTGAGCCATCACCACAATCATTAATATTGTTACAAATAGCTCCATTTAGTCCTCCTGGAACACACTCTCCATTGTCACAAGTAAATTCATTTGCATTGCATTCTGTGTTAGGTGTTGTTATAAATTCAGTAGTAGCTATTTGAAAAAAGAAATATTTTAAACAGTTTCAATAAGGCCTATGAAAATGTTTGCTACATAAATATAAGAATCTAGAGAAAACATCATTTAATGAAGGTGGTCAAATAAAGGATAGCTTATAAACTTCGATTCTATTATAACTCTAATATAACGTTAATTTTTGTGAAGAGAAACATTGTTATTTTGTTTTTGAGAAAAATTCTTTTTTAACCTATAATAGGCTTGAAAGACATCCATCGTAAATGATGTGTCACACCATAATGATTAAATTTTATGCTTGATTTTGAAGATTGTACGGATGTATATTAATGGTGGTGGTTGACAGAAAAAAAATTTTCAAGATTTATAATATACTTACTACAAAATTCCTCATCTTCTCCATTTGCACAATCTTCTGTTCCATCACACACCGCGGAATTGAACAAACATCTTCCATCAAGACAGGTATATTCAGCACAAGTCACCTCTGATATAAAAGAAGAATTTTCTAAATTAGGAACGTTTTTATTGCATAACAAAGGATACTATCAAAACTATTGAGTATTTGTTATTTTATTAAAATCAATGTAATATTATAACTTAATAATAATACTTTAATAATAAATAACCCTATAAATATCCAATCTAAGTAGGCTTACCACAAACATTAGCATCTTCATCACTTCCATCTCTACAATCTTCTGTTCCATCACAATGGTCAATGATATCAATACATTCACCATCATCACAGGTGAATTCTTCAGTTGTACAAGTCCTGGGTCTTGTTATCTTTTCTGTGGTTGTGTAGATACCAGTAGTTGGCACAAACTCGGTTGGAATGCTAGTGGTTGTGGTAATGGTTGTAGTTGGTAGCATAGTGGTTGTTGGTATTGGCGTTGTGGTTGGCAGAGCTATAATGACCACAAGAAAAATATTATTTTAAAGCACTATGCTAATACACAAGCTATTTTTATGACTATATACCTACTGTACGTAAAATAATTAATTACTGTCTCTTCAAAAAGTTGGGATTTTCAAAAAAAATAGTTCTATTACAAGAGGCTATTTATTACTAAATGATCCAAAAACATGAAATATAAATGCATAGCCTTTCTAGATGAAGAGGTGAGACCAGGGCTTAAAGCTTTGTCTACACTATCAAATATTATGTGAGAAAAAAATGCGATGAGCCCATATATGGGTACAATGGCGTCATATCACATATTATCAAATTGTATCAAAAAAAAGTTGAACAACTCTTATGTTCTGTCACATTTTACGTGAAGCTTTTTTGATAAAATTTGATAGTGTAGACAAAGCTTAAGATTTAAAATTGTAATTTTTCACCTTTAAAATTGTAAAATTTTGGTAAGGGTGACTCTAATATTTCAGGCATCAAAATGGATTGATGGCAAATTACCTGTGGTCTTGCATGCAGCTTCATCTTCCTCTGATGTGCAATCAATGTTACCATCACAGAGTTGACTTTGATCAACACATTCACCAGTTGTACAACTAAATTTTCCAGTTTCGCAAGCTGTTGATAAACAATACCAATAATACAGATAACGACAATGGCAATGATAATAATTTTTAAAAAAAACACAAGACCATTAAAAATAAGGACATTAATAATAAGCATTATTTTTCATCAAGACAAAATTAAAATGCATTAATAATAGTTAAAAATTTGGCATTAAGTCGAAGTTTGCCCAAACCTTATATAAATTACGTATATTAAATTAAGGAAAATAACTAAATTACTAAGGCGGGAATTATTTTTTTTTATTAATCCAGAAACAAGCCATACTTGTAAGGGATTCTTCAGACAAGGTTTATAAAGGAATAAAATAACAAAAACAAAAAAAATCTATATAATTACATTGCAGACTTCTTTTTATTACGATAATTAGGTCACCAGTATTTTTATTCTTCACAAACAGAAGGTTTATGTTGTCTGAGAAATGTGACGTCAAACAGTAACACCCTATACCGTCCATTAATTATCACGCTAAAGAAATTTCCATATTTATATTAATATGACACGAATGTGTTTGTGATTGCAGTTAATGATTCAATTGACCAACTTATTTATTTAGCAGAAACATTTCTTTTACTTACGGCAGTCCATCTCATCACTTCCATCAGAACATTGCTTTACACCATCACAGACCTCCAATTCTTGAAGACACTGATTGCAATCACCGCAAACAAAACTTCCCTCACAAGTACAGTCTAAGAAAGAAAAAATAAATAAATAAAATAAAAATAAGCCTGGGCTGATCATTTCTTTTCTCTCTATTACCGGAATTGTCTCTTCTAAAGACAGATTAAATGTAGGTTTAAAATTAAAACTTCAATGTTTAGTTCAATTTTTAATAGACTTTTACTTCTAGATTTACCACGGAGTGTGACTTTAAATTGTTTTTGTTTTTTTTTTTTTATTATCTGAATGTTGAATAGCAAATATAAAAGAGAATATATTATGTTACTTACTACAGCCAAATTCATCACTCATATCACCACAATCATCATGACCATCGCAGCGATGTGTAATTGGCTGACATTCTCCAGATGCACAGACCATCTCACGAACAGTACATTCATAACCTGACAAATAAAAAAAATTGTATATATTTCAGTTGATAGTTATTTAAACGAGAAAATTTACGGAAATCAACGAATAATTGTCATTTTAACAGAAATAAATTCATGGGTTTTATGTAAAAGTAATAAAATGAGTTAACACCTTTTTTATACTTTTAATCTGGCAAATACATGTTATTGGCCCATTATATTGGTATAATAATTAAGACATCATAGGGCCAAGACTGATTATATTCATTGCATAAATCTGTAGATAGAACTTTTTAGATATTATTTAGAAATTATTGTTTTTTTTACTCACAATCCGCCTCGTCGCTCCTATCATTAAAGCCACAATCAAGTTCTCCATCACATTGGAATGATTTTGGAATGCAATGTCCATTGTCACAAGTAAATTCATCTTCAGTACAAGTAGGAGGTCCTATGAAAATGGAAAATTAATAAATCAATAAAAAACTAATCTTATTATATATTTATTTCACAAATATTTGACTTACTGGATGTAAAATATGGATAACCTACAAAGTAAGAGATATATATTTTCAATTTTGCAGGTAATGAATTAAACAAAGACAATCTCTTGAGTTTTTTAAAAACGTTTACTGCGTCCATGCACTTTGACCATATTGCACTCAAGAATACGATACGATATTGCAATCAGTATTTCAACCATCCAGTTTAAACCCAAGAAGAGCAGCGATGGAGTAAAATCACAGTCTAGAGGTGTGAAAGTAACTCCTGATTTTAGCGCATAAATAGTTGCTACCACAAAACAAGCAGTTGGAGCTGTATTTTTCCAATTTGTTGTGATTTCTAATTTAGATCAATGTTGGCCTTACCACAACCATGTTCATCACTGTTGTCCAGACAGTCAGGTAGCCCATCACACTTAAAAGATCCATCAATGCAATGACCGTTATCACAGGTGAACTCATCTACACTGCATGTGTACACTATATTATAGAAAAAGATAAATTATTAAGTTGTGTTGATCACCATATAGTTTACAGCACCTCAACATTATATGATGGAGGAGGATGGAACCGAATGTTTACTAAAAAACCGGGGTCCTCAAATGAATACAGAATAGACCAGCAATTAGTTACTTCTGTCTGGTCTATTTGCATACCATATAGACAGGCCTATAGAATTACCTTCACTACAATAAAATGTCTATTTTTTGGTTTATGAAGTATACAATAAAATGTAGAATCTAAGACAGAAAATATTTTTATAAAACTACAAAAAGTTGAACAACCTACCACAATCTTCTTCATCACTTCCGTCGCCGCAATCATTAGCGCCATCACACGCCCAGCCGTGTGGAATACACCTTCCATTAGAACATGCAATTTCACTTGGGCTACAAGTAGGTTCTGCAATACCACAATGTTAATTTATTTTATTATAACTAAAATTAAACTAAATTGCTTTACATTAAAATGATATTTAAAAAAAAATTTAATCAATGTCATCTCTGGTGTATCAATCATGTTTATGATCAATCACAACACGGTCCTTTACACTATTGTATTGTGGGGACCTAACAACAATCAGGGGGCCGGGGTTAGCGGAACAATCGTTTATGTAATTACAAAATTTCAACGTTAAAAAGTTCTTACCTGGACATGGTTCTCCATAACAAACAAACTGTCCTTGAAAGCATGTGCTGAAGATATGAAAAAATAGTGATCAGATAGGCCATCTAATTGGCTGGTAATTAATTTATGATTTCTTTTTATAGTAGACCTAAACTTTTCTAAGTAGGTAAAAACTGAAATTTAGATCTGTGTGTCATCGAAAGTTCATAAATTATTTCAAACTTTTACATGACCAATTCATTTTTGTGTCTATGCCCCTCGGGGACAAAGACACTATGTTATGATATGGCAGTTAAAAATGTGTCATGTGTCATCTTTATCTACCTTATTACTGTAAAAAAGGCATAAATTAAAAATACAAGACCACACATTTCCTGATAACCAAATCCCATGTGGATACTTTATTAGTAAACATAATATAGGGCATAGGCACACGCTCCCGCTGGGTGCCTATTTTTCTTAATGAATTGGGTTTTTAAAAAATATTTTTGCATATTGTAAGCAACGGACAGCAATGAAATCACCCGCCTAGAAAGAATTGAAATGTCATCATACCTACTGCCATGTACAAGTAGACGTAAAGCACCAACTAAACGGTTACTAATATTCATATTGATGACAATGACAATGACAATGTTATTCAAATAAACTGACTAATTGTTCCTACCAATTTTGGCATTCCTTTGTAATGACAGTCCAAGGTGGATATTCGCCGTTGTCATAGAAACAAGGACATTCATCTGCCAGCACGCAGCCCTCATCTGGAAAAATAAAAATAATATTAACATAAATATATTTTGGCTACCAAACAGTATAAGTAATTAATCTAAAATCCTTATATCATCTATGCATTATTTTTTAAGATTGGTAAGATATATTACTCAGTTTATGCGTTCTCATTTACACATAGACACACTTCCCTTCCGACCCCAAAACAGCAGACTCATCAACCACACATACACAAGAAATTTTTAGTAATCAATTTTTAATGTTAAATGGCAAACATTACCTTGAGCAACATAGCCCTTTGGACAATGACAACCCTCGACGCATTCACTGCAATGCAACTGGGTCTCTCCACTAATGGTTTCACACGTCTGACGGCAAGTTGGCCCGCAAGCCATATATCGTAGACCCTTGTCGCATTGCATAGCTAAAACCAAAAGCAAGCATGTATAAATGTATTTTAACTTTATAGTTATACAATTTAGATAAGTATGAAATAGTGCAAGCTGTTATATCGATAAATCAATAACAATAAAGCCTTCTACTGCTACTACAGTACAATAATGGTAGATCAACTTACGACAGAGATCCTGAGATCTCCATGCGACGTAGACACCAGCATTATTACATTCTTTGTGTGTGTGTGTGTGTGTGTGTGTGTGTGTGTGTGTGTGTGTGTGTGTGTGTGTGTGTGTGTGTGTGTGTGTGTGTGTGTGTGTGTGTGTGTGTGTGTGTGTGTGTGTGTGTGTGTGTGTGTGTGTGTGTGTGTGTGTGTGTGTGTGTGTGTGTGTGTGTGTGTGTGTGTGTGTGTGTGTGTCTTAGTTGTGCTAAAAAATAAATTTGATTGCTTACTTTGTATATGTAATTTTGCATGTATATATTAGCTTTAATTAAAAATTGTATTGAGAAAAAATCCTCTTTTAATTACTTAAATGAAGAATTTGAAATAGTTTGAAAGAGCTTTAATAGTTACAGATTTATAAACACCAAAACACCAAACACCAAATGTTATATCACAGACCATTAATACTTTATGCACATAAGTTAAGCTGCATGCAAATACAGACTGGCACAAAATAACCGACACAGATGTATATATAAATGGGTGTACAACTTACCCACAGGCATCGTATGTGCAACGTTCAAAGTAAGAATTGGGTTCAACAAGCGCATGACACTCTGCAAACGTTGTATGTAGTATTATACTACAGTGTCGCATTGCCCATGTTTTACGTTGCGGATGAACCTAAGAGTAAGATAGTAAAACAATCAATGTTATTAAAACCTATTGCTAGAATTCCCATATTTTTCTGAGAACTTTAAAATCACCTTCTCCAAAGTTAATATAAATATTAGATCATGCAAGTAAAAATATAAAAAAAAAACTACTTTTATATTATATGTATTAGATTACTAAATTAAACAAGTTTTTGGTCAGACTACTAATTATATATAGTACCATTTATTACACATAAACCCTTATTACTTTTACTTTATTTATAAGTCCCTGTCCATGCAACAAAGTATACTGTACATGATTTTGTTCAGAGTATAAATTCTGAAATCACATTATCCTGTTCAAATTAAAATTATTATATAACCACTATCTCATTGTTATTAGAATTAACCACTGTTTTAATTACTGTACTGTTTGTTTAGTCAATTATAAAAGAAGCTTGATCTCAGACAACCAAACGTATACAGTTGCGGATTTAGGGGGGTGGGCTGGCCGGCCCCGCCTCCCCACCTCCCTCCCACTTTTGGAGGTAAAAAAAAAGAAAAAAAAATAAAAAGAAAAAAGGAAGAAAAAGAAAAGGACGGTGTTGTTTCGATCGGTCCAACTTTCGCACCCCCCCCCCCCCCGCCTTTTTTTTTGGACATCTCTGGATCCGTCCCTGCGTATACATTCATTGTTTGAAAGATTAAACTTACCTCGCAGGGACTCTCAAGGGACAATAGTGAGACATCAGGGCAGTTGTTCAGCACTTGCCAACTGTTGGCAAAGTTGTCTGGTGACTGCACAACCAACCCGGTTCTGGTGGAATAATCGTTAATTTGATCGCCGTTGAAATCTCCACACAGACCTTTAACTTTGCTGTTAAATTGTGGCTCGATGGTCACGTACAGTCTAGTTCCTAAGAAACAAATTGTCTTCACATTTGTTATCATGTTCATGTGCGGCCTTTATGTATTACAAATAAATTGGAACTTCCGAATGGATTTGTTTTTGATTGAAACTAGAAACTATTTGACAGAAGGTGATAGAAGCAATGAATTTTAAGAGAAGTTTAGCACAAAGAAGCTCTGTGAGTTTTAAATATTACAATTCACAATTAAATACCACTATTGGCAACAGGTTATACAGTATTACATGACGTTATTCTATGACGTGCATACTTGTATACATGGATAATATGATTACGTATAAAGTATAAGTATCCATTACCTCCATCCCATTTCACTCTCAAGCCCAGGTCACTGGTGACAATGTAAAAGAGGCCAGATTGCTCAATTCGCAGATTGCCATAGTACTTAGGCAGGGTAATTGGCACGTTATTAACTGTGATGTCAGATCCTCTAACCATGAACACCGTGATGTTCCCTATGTGGATATCAATTGCACGGGTGCATGTAATGCCGCTGCTCCCACACAACACAGTCGTCACGTCAATAGAGAAAGCTTGGTTCACCTCTTCTGCTAGGATGTACTGACAAGGCCCAGCGAATGTGTACATTCTACCATCAAATGTCGAGAAATGTCCTTCTCCAACCACGGAGCATGTTCCTTTAGGGACAACAAAGTGGAAAATATGTGAAGTAAATATTTAAAAAGCAATATTATGAGTTATATTTTCTCTATGTTACGGTACTTTTCTTACTTGAACAGTTTTAATTGGTATTACAACTTTCAGATTTTTCTATATTAATATTTTACTATGAATGTTATTTCTTTTCAAAACACTTAAAACTTCACTGGTAAAATCCAGACAAGAAATGTTTGCTTCTGTTTTTATAATTAATAATTAATAATAATCAACAATACATAGTGTTTTTGGAAAGTATTTTTCTTAATTTATTTTAGGCAAAATAAACTATGCGTCAGCCGAAGGTTACCTCTGCCCCCCACCCCATCGGTGAGAAAAAAAAATGTATATGTATTTTTAACATATTAATAGACCCCAAAAACGAATAAATAAGCTTTTGAAACCCCTAAATTGTCATATTTGTCAAAGGCTTCGCCCCCAGGAACACTTTCGAAATGTTTTGAGCGACGCCCGACCATACCCGCTTCTTTTGGTCGGGAACATCGCCCCCCCACCCACCGGGCGGGGATCTCGGACCCACCCGTCGGAAAAATCCTAGCGCCACCACTACTTCTGCCGGCACTGAATTTGTTCGCATTATGGCAAGATTGGAATTCGAGCCGCATAGCATACAGCTCCATACGATCACAAATATCAAATTGAATTTTTTTACTTACCTGAACATTGTTCTGTAGTACAGTCCCACATTCTGCCATGACATGTGCTAAGAATTCAGAAAAAAAAACCCTTATCCTCATTTTCTTGTTACTTGGCCTTTCAATATTTGCTTTTGAATTTTCGTGATTTCATTGTGTAAATTTTTTAATTGTTTTAAATGTTCGAAATATGTTAATCAATGTGTTTATTTTGTTTATTGCAAGCTACAATAAGTAGATAACTAAAAAGTTGTATTTATCTCATTTTGTCTTATTCTGTCTTATATAGGCTACCTAATTTTATACGTATATACATAAACGAGGAAACTGAGAGACTGTGTAATAAACATAAAATACTTACCACGTGTTGCAAGCGTCGGGTTGCATAGTTTCACCACTGTTGTATCGGATACCTCCATGAAGACAAGGGCAATTTTCAGGCAAAACACAAGTATCGTACTAGATGAAAAATGGAAAGATATGCAGTACTGTAGTCAGCTATAAAACTGATAAGTTGGATACCCTTATTCAAATGTAACCAATGGTTAGAATGTTTCAAAATACAGCATGCTATAGTAATTTATCGGTACCGTAACCATTGGAAGAAAAGCGATGGACTTGAACCAGGAAATACATCCGATGGTTTAGTGTAGGCCTACACACAATGGGTCACCACTAATTTAGCAAACTGAGCTATGCTACTCTACCGTTTGCCTTTTGTCAAGATATATAGGGAATAAAAGTAGTACTTACAGCAAGCACATAATTCTCAGGACATTCACAACCTGACCGCGTCGAGCCTGAACATGGTTGATAGTTGTCATAATTTCTGCAAGTCTTAGGGCACGGTGATGCATGTTGCGAATATACAAGATTGTTAGGACATTGTACCTCATCTGCGCACTCTTCACCATCACATTCAAATGTACCATTGGTACAAACGCTATTGGAAAAACAATTATTATATTATTTTCGAGGTGTGAATAATAGCAATTAGTCAGTATTTCCTCGTAGATACGGTCAAATAATTATTAGGCATAAATAATAATATGCTGAGTGACAATAATCAATAATGAACAAAAAAAAAAACTACTACTGTTTACCAAGTCATGCAAGGGCGTTCCAATTCAGCACCTGGAGGATAAGTTTGATCTTCGAATGTACAGTAGCACGCAGAGTATGGTACGCATTCTCCATTATCGCTGATAGCTTGGCCATCAGGACAGACACAGCCAGCAACACAAAAATCATCTTTAAAGCAGGGAAATGCAAGCTGATGACAGGTCCTACCGCATCCACGACTGCACTCGGAATAGATGCTGTTGCCCTCACATTGAATGGCTGGAAATAATGATAGTATGAATTAATGGGGGGAAAATCAAACCATTGTGGAAATAGGGGCCTACAATATTATATTTTTTTTACTTGGGAAAATGGACATAACCAAGGTTTTACAGCTAATATAAGGGCATAATTTTATTGAGTCTCTTACTTAATTCATTGGTGTATGGTAAGAATAGCCCCGGAAAAATGGCCCCGGAAAAAATGGCCCCGGTAAAAATGGCCACATATGACAGGTAGGTAAAAATGGCCCCAATAATCAAATTCTGTATTAAAACTGATTTTCTTGAGTCAATATATGCATTTTTTTATCATAAATAATTTAGTTTTTAAAAGGAATCTAACATCAAACAAATTGCCATTTACATTTTACTTTTTGCAAGAATTAATATTCAATGATAAAATATTCAAAGATAAATAAAAAGCCATGAATTACACTTTTAATTTTTTTTCCCTTTAAATGTTAAAAAATAGCAACAACATAATCAATAAATCAACATAAATCATGCATTTATTAATACTAAAATAATTTACTTGTGGCCGATTTCACGGTAGAGGAATCACAATTTTCCAGAAATTCAATCTGTGTATTGGTTAACCCCACAAACAGTGGGTTAGTATGAACATCAAATTATTTTTTTTTTTTTTAAAGAAAAAGAGAGTTCTACAATCATAATTATATGGTTTAGATGGGGTTTGCAGTGTGTTAGAGGTTTGTAGTGTATTTGCAAGTATTTTTTCATAAAGAATCTAAATTTTAACCAAGTCAGTCAATCACAATTGAATTGTTTGATTTTCTACAGTGTGTTTTGGGAGGTTTGTGGGATTTAGCAATACCACTTAATCCTACCATAATCACCCTACCCTCACAATCACACGCCATTTTAATTCTTAGCATAATTGCCATACCACCTACATAACTATATATAATTCTAAGCCAGTAGTAGGCACTTGGATTTAGTTAGTGATGAGTAAAAACTAAGTATGCAACTAAATTAATTGTTTAAATAAATGAATTCCTAATTATTCAGTTTACTAAAAGCAATACTTCTTTGAATAAACTCTAGCAGACAATTTATTGCTAAGTTTGCGAGAAAGTAAGCCTCTCCCTTTTTCCATACATGAACTTGTGATTCAAACACACAATTGATCCACATGCTTTAACTACTGTTGATTTGCATTGTTTATAACATGTAAAGTTAATTCATTGATATATAACAAAAGTGAAGTTTGTGGTTATCTATGAATTGCATATTTTGGTAGTTGAAGCACTGTATATTGTATGTCATTCCTCTACTTTGTTAGTGAAGTAATGTTTTTAAAACTTTTATTTCTACTATCAAAAAATGTTATTCAATGGCCATTGTTTTTCGATTATCTCTCAGAACATTATTTGCTTCTACTGTAATTGTTAAAAAACAAATGCTTTTAAAGAAATTTAAAAAAAATCACATATTGATCTCAGTTCAAATGAAAAAATAAAACTCATTTCTAAATTTACAATTTTCACCTATAAACCTCTTAATTTCACAAAAGAGTGGGTTCTTTTCCAAACAAATACATCCTGCCTAATATTGTGTGTTTAGATTAGGTCTTTTGCTTTAACTTTGGAAATTGAGATCATTTTAGATACTATTTCTGTATAAACTAATTTTTTTTTCATATTACTGTAAACCTAATGGGTTTTGATAAATTTACTCTACACTACGGAATTTCCAATAAAAAAAAAGAAAATTAATTAAAAAGACCATAGATTAAAAATAAGTAAGGTGTAACATATTTTTAAGCTAA